CAGAGTTGCAGATGATGACGTTCTCAACAACGATTTAATGAAGAATTTATCTTGGTTGTATATATAAGATATACTACAAAAACAGAGTCAAATCATTTCTCATGATTGGATTTTAGCTTAGACTTCCTGGTAAAGAGTGGAAACTAGTGATATCGCATTGGTAAAGACTACCCTATGATGATGATGATGATCTGAGGCCTGAAAAGGATAGCAAGAGCACATGGAATGGGAGCCAAGTCACAATAGTGGCTATGACGACGAAGTGAGAAATAAGACAAATAAGGATAAGATGAAGTTGAATTCTTCTTGTAACGCTTGCATGTGCACAATTCATCCATGCTGTGGCCTCATATATAGATAGCTAGCTAGCTGCATGCAGTTTAATCATTCTCCCCATCCTCCTCACCCTCATCAGTGCACAAGCGTTAAGACCCTGAGATCATTATCATCATCGTCATCATCGTATCCCAGGCACAGTCAAATCTCATCAACAAGCCCTTTTATTCTTTGATAACCCGCCGGTGACGGTTAAGGATGGACGAGCATCATCCAATCCTATGGTATTCGGATCACGTCATTGTCGGGACCTGAGCTGTGGTAATGAGTGACGAAGGGTCTGCATAGCAATGACCATTCCTCCTCTTCATTCCTACAACGCCTTTGCCAGCCTGATCCGACTACATAAGGATTGAGAGTTCGGAAATAGGTGGATAGAGTCGGTCACTCGGTCCTTGGGACAAACGGCTAGACAGACGTATGCTTCCTCAATCCTGCTCATGTCACTGCGAAAGAGGTGCTGAAATATGAGTAGCCATACTGACCCACCCACAGAACTTGATCGAGTGGTACAGTCTTTGAGATCAGCCTCCGTGGCCGCAGGGAGGAGTCTGCCCGATGGCACCGTATTGCGTGGCAGATTTACGAGTGTTGGTGAACCCGGAACTGGAAAACCCTGCTCCAGAGGGGAAACTGCTGGCGATGAATGCATTATTGGCCCAAGATGCATTACTTAGTCCGCTGGACATGGGCTGGCTGGACACTCCGAAGGAACCAGGTGTGTTTGCAGCAGCGTCTACTAAGCTTTGGTCCCATGAGAATCCAGAAAGGCGGTGGTGCGACGTAGAGTTGGGCGAGGGCATCCAGGAGGAGGGTATGGTACTAGGGCCGTTGAGCGGACTGTGCCTCAAGGCTTGATTCATCATGCTCTGCCGGAGCACGCGCTCATTCTCGCTAGCGATCATATCCTGAGATGGTGGATTGTTTCCCAAGGCTTGGTTTATCATGCTCTGCCGGAGCATGCGCTCATTAGCGATCATATCCTGAGATGGTAGATGATGATTGGGGCTGGCGATGTTTCCAGGCAGCATGGAAGCCGGGTACTGTTGTCCAAGACCTGGCGGAGTCCGTGGTGAAGGCGCATCACCGAGCTCCGGCGATAGAGCCGTGTTCCATATGCTTGGGATACCAGGAAGGGCAGGCCGGGCGGCGTAAGAGTGGGAAGACGACACTCGGACGAGAGGTGCAGAGCCAGTCACGGGTGGTACGAGTCCAGGGGGAGCAGCAGGGGTCTGCCTGGGAAGGAGATCCTCTTGGAAGATCGAATCCATACTCGAATCGAAGAACTGGCTGGATGGTCGCTGTTGATTGCTGCTCCGTGGAAAAGCCAGCTGCTCTGGTACGGCCGGAGCATTCTCGTAGGTGTCGGATTCTACTAATCTTTCCACACCTTCAACGATCCGATGCATGCTAGCTGACATCGATGCGGAGGCGGCCTGTGAACCACCAAAGACACTCCTGGTGTCAACGTTGTGGCTGGGATCAGGGGCTGCCTTTCGAATGTCGTCCCGTTCAATACTAGCGGATGAGATCGTATGGTGATGGCCCGAGGGACTGGCGAAGAACTGCGAAGGGAGCCCTTCTTCCTGGTAAATAAACGTTTTCTTGTCTTCATCGTCCACTAGGGCAATGGGTATTTTCTAGAGCAGACAGTAGTTAGCATGGCGATTGAGGATAACAATAAGCACGTAGTATCCATACATTGCTCACAACGAGATCCAAGCCATCGATAACAAACTCGCGGATTCGGTAGAGCATCTCCATATTGGGGTGATTCCTTTCTACCCCGGGATCGTTCATTCGGGGCTTCTGCTGGCCAGTTGAGCTGAGATACCTCCGGGAAGTTGCCTCTTTGGCCAAGGGCGCAAAACACAAGGTCTCTTCATCCTCTTCCAGCAAATAGTCGATCTCAGGCAGATGCACTACATCGAACGTTGACGCAAGAAGGGTTAAAGTGTTGGCATAAATCTTCCAGAACTCGATAATCTGGACTGCTAGAGGACTGTCCTTTTCCCCTGGGAAAGACACCAATAGGCTGCTGGCTGTAAGGAGCCAAGAGCTGTAGTTTCGTAGAGCCGGAAGGACACGTCGTGCAACGACAGTAACCTTATCAGGTCCGGTTTGGGCGTCTTTGTTGCTGGGGTCCTCAACCGCGAAGCGTTCGACTTCGGCCAGGAGAATCTGGAGCAATGTGAAGAATGTCTTCACGTTGATCCGTTGGAAGAAGGAACGCGCATTGGATGTGGAATCATCTAGTAATTGGTTCAATGCACGCTTCTATTAACGAGAAAGTCGAGAAACCTACCGCTCGTATGTGTCCGCGAGAACTCTTCGGCAGCGATGTTGATCAGGCAGAACTTTTGCAAAGTACCTTCCAGAGAGCGTTCCTTCAGATCCACAGCAAGTTGATTCAGGACTTCACTTTCAAGCTCGTCGTGTTCAGGGAAATCAATCCCTCTGTAACACTGCGCGTGAAGGTATACAAACCAAGGGGCCAATGACCTGCCGGGAATGCCAGCGTCTTCGGGTCGAATCAACTCTCGTTTGACCCACGCATTCATGACCTTTCTGAATTCAATCTCAAGATTACCCTTGGCCGAAGGATGGGGCTCTTGAGCGGCCAACGCTCTATACAGATGATAAGTGGCCCTTAGATGGTTTCCGTCGGCGAGGGCAATAACCGCCAGTTGGTTATGAGGGGCACCGGACGCGGGGTAGATCAATGTGGCCAGGTCGTAGTAACCTATGGCTGGACCCCAATTGCGGTTCTTGCTGACCAGTTCGGTCTCGCGGTAGCGCGAGAGATCTCCGAGACGGATGAGGGTCGAATGGCATGAATGAAGGATGTGCCTCTTGAGGGTTTCGGAAGTTCGGATCGGAGGCTCCGCGGATAGATCTGAGAAAGAAACATGGCTTTGCTCAACGAAAGCCCAGGAATAAACGGGGACGACAATGCTCACTCTCAGAATTGAATTTCCGCGCGACCTTTTCTAGCTCCGGGATACCACCAAAGTGGGAGGACAATTGTTGAATGAAGGCTCGATAAAATCGTTGGCTTGATTTGATGAATTCGAGGTAATGTTTCTCGAGCTTCCGCCTCTCTACCGGCTTTTTCTTCTTTCCGCTTTCCTCCCGGAACTATAATATATATCATATATTAGACATTGGCGGGCAGCGAACGAGCAGGATCTCATGCGACACTCACGCGAGAGAGCAATTTGCGGAAGCGGGTATTGATCTTGAGATGCGCATCCCACAGGCGAGGTTCGACATCGACGGAGCGGGCAGTCTCGAAGTCTTGAAGGATAGCATTCTGACAAGTAGAGCGGAATCTGCGACGGCGAGGAAGGAAGGACAGAGACGGTCAGATGATTCTGCGCGCAAACCCAAAGCACCGCAAGACGGCAGGAGGGGGGCAGCAACTAACTCCGAAAGGTAATGGGAGATTTCAGCAAACGTGGGCTCTTTCTCGGCAAGGCTCTTGAGGAGCTCTTTTTCGACTTCGAGCGCAGTTCTGTATGAGGTGGGATTTGGCATTAGAGACACGGGTCCACACACGGTTTGAGGGGAACAAGAAGAATAGTTGTAAGAGAACTAGTGACAGTGAGGGGATCGGAGAAGGGGAATACTAACTGCCACGTATTTTGGAACGCGGACGCCATGCTCAGGACCAAGAAAGATCACACCCGTGTCAGTCTAACGGTGACATTCGCCCGTCAGATGGCTATGGCTGGCTGGGAGTCTGCGGGCGACAGGAACAGTGAACGAGCCATCAGTCAGTAAGACTAGTATATACAAAAAACGAGCGAGGGCGTGGAGGGCGGTCAGGATCCCGGAGTGACAGCCACTGGAAGTGAAGGGAAGAAGCAGGAGGAGGAGGATGTGGATGCAGCGATGAGGATGGACCCCGAAGCGCGAAGACGAACAACGGAGGGGTTCGCGGCCGCCGCTCGTTGGAGAGAAAATCCCATATCACGGGAACTTTTCGACGCTCGTCCGAAAATTGGTTGAACGGCTCGGGATGCTTTGCCCGGCTGTCTTTTTTTGTGGCTAGTGACGGATTCTAACATGTGTGATTGGCTGGATGGGTTGTGGCTGGTGATCCGGTTCAGGCACCGAACCGTTTTCTCGAGTTTCACTCCTTACAGTACGAGACCGCCAATACCATTTGGCAGATTTGCAAATCATAAACTTGTGATAGATAGTACACAACTACTTTGTTCACTATGCGGTATTTTAGTAGTTCCCAGATATACTTCGATATTATGTTACTCTTCAGCTGAATGGGAACCTGAGGATCCACACTGCAGATACTCATTGCAGAGAAGATCCCTATACTATTAGAACTGTATCTGCATATCGCATACTCCAATTAAATTCCTACACTTATCATTATTCCCCCATGTATTGTCTAAGTAATATAGCCATATACAATCTACAAGTCCTCGGGCAATTTTCATCACAAAAGTACTTACTCAGTCTTGCGATTCCGGACTTTCCATCATCCATTCCTCCACTAATCGCGGAAGCTATGACATCCGCTAAAAATGTATCCCACCTCCAATCTAGAACCAATCCAGCCTAGTGGCTCACCAAATATTCGCTGGGCATTCCTCCATATTCCATTCTTATACTATAACCATAACACTATCAATCACTATCTTGTAAATTTCTACTACACCCTACTTTAATACATTGTAAGCAATCAAAATCTCCTCACCCTTCAAACAAACAGGAATAATCTCCAACTAACCCACACATCCAGACAACCCAACCACATTACTACGTACTTACTACCCCAATCTGCACACTTCATCCATTGCACTGCAGCCCATCCAAACTAAACCAAACCCTGACCTATCACAGTCCCCCAAACACCTCACCATCATCCACCAGCAACCCAGCACTGCTACCACCACTTCATACAAAAAGACAAACCCAAGGAAAAAAGAAATAATGTCCAAACGCTCACGAAGCACATCCCCATCCCCATCCCCATCACCACCCTCACCTTCCCCATCACTACATTCCTCCTCACCCACCCGTCCCAAAATCCCCTCGCTAGATCCCACAGCCACATCCCCCAACCAAGAAGTCATGCACTGCTCGCTACCGCCCCATCGGGAAACCATCTCGTTTACATCCTACGAAGACTACGAGGTGCATTACCGTCAGGCACACGTGAATCGGTGCTCGCAGTGTGGGAAGAATTTCCCGACGGAGAGGTTTCTGAATCTTCATATTGAGGAGAATCATGATGCGTTGGTGGCGACGAGGAGGGAGAGGGGGGAGAAGACTGTACGTTTTTACCCTCTTTCCTTCTCTATGTTCGATGTTCTAATGCTAATGGTTGTAATATGCAGTACGCATGCTTCGTCGAAGGCTGCGAACGCGTATGCTCTACGCCTCAGAAACGTAGAATGCATTTGATTGATAAGCATGAGTTTTTGAAGGTATAATATACTTTCTTCCTGCCATCTCTTTACTCCATGTCTACTGAAAACCATGACTAATGTATGTATCTAGACATACAACTTCTACATCGTAAACGACGGCATCGACAAGCAGACCTCTCTACTGAGGACACCGCATGACCATCGTCGGCGGTTATCATCAGCTGCTATGGGCCCTACTTCGCCGAAGGAAGGGCGGTTACGGTATCGTCAGACTTCCATATCTCAGGGTGATTCTGGTGCGAGTGCTCAGAAAGGCTCTTCTCTGTCTATTTCTTCTCGACAAGGTGCGGCTGCTGCTGCTCCTGCGGGTGATGAGGGTATTGCGGAGCTGGAGAGGTCTATGTCTGCGTTGCGGTTTGTTCCGGCTAGTGTGGCGAGGAGTCGGGGGAAGCAGAAGTCTTGATGTCCTTTTTGAATGGGTGGGGTTGAGAGTATCTGAATTGGGTGACATTGGGTTTGATTTGGTGAAAAGTAGTGGGCTACGACTACTAGGGGTGGACTGCTATGTATTCTTGATACCCGTTTCTTGCAACACGCATCGCTTTTATTAATACCCGGTTCATTCGATTGGAGAGCGGTCTTGTGGCCGGATAGATCAGCCCATGGAAGCTAACGGAAGTAGGGAAGGTCGTGGTCACTCCCTTGTCGTATGTAGACTTCCAGCAGGTGGAAGGCGAGAATCATGAGCCAACCGAGGTGATGACGATACACAAGAGCCGCTCTCCCCCCAGAACAAAAAAGCAGAAACAGTTTATGTACACGGAAGAAACTAAGGAAATAAAGATGTCATATCCGTGAAGACATGGGTATACAACAACACCAGCAATACAGAAAAACCAAAGTGTCATTAGCGAATAAAGCGGTTCAGCCATTGATCAAATCACGAAACCGAGACATAAAAGAATCACAGATAGTGCTGGCTCCCCAGCGCTGTGAAGAGTGGAATGTTGCTTGAAAGTCTGCCGTGGCGTAGAATAATGAGGCGCCAGTCGAACACAAGGCGAGGTGGGCAGTTACATCTGCGTCTCTAGAAAATCGGCGTAAGTATCGAGACTCGACCCAACTAGATCCACAATCGCCCAGCTGGTGTTCCCTTTGAAGGTTCGTGCCCAAACACGCACGATGGCAACGCTCAGCTGCTTCGCTTTATAGGGGTTGGCGATAAAGTCCAGGTCGGGTGCCCCAGGGGGATCAACAGCCATGTCGGTTTCATCCATCATACTCTTGATCCACAGAAGCAGCTTTCGCTCGTGCTCTGATAGTCTCTGCTCGGCCTGGGTCATTGGTATTGACAACAGCCAACGGCTAAGGAGAAAAGCACACTCCAAGCTACACAGCGAGTGCTGGATGCTCCAGAAGAACGAATGGGTTCGGGCCACAAAGTCAATACCTAGGCGGACTGGAATTGAGAGTGCATGGGCTGAATGCAAAAGAGCCATGATCAGACGAGGGCTTCGTGCTACTGGTGGGGATTCACCCAGAGCTCTCGCGATTTGCAGGGGATCTTGCGTGATAAGACGACGACAAGGTCCCAAGTCAACATGCAACCGAATATAAGCAAGCCCGAGAAGGGCAGTAGACGTGAATGCTATCGGACCTGCCGGGTTTTGAGGATCAATGCTAGATTCAGGTGTGCGTTTCCACAACGCCTTCCAGGCACTCAGAGAATTGTCCAAAGCGGACAAGTCTTCTTGACGTAAGCTTGTCCCATGCATACTTGGGGCAGAGAGGCAGAGCTGACGTGCAAAGAATATTTGCTGGATAATAGCGTGTATCAGGATATAGTTCCCAAGAGGAGATATCGGCGCTGAAGCGCTAGAAGTACTGGACTTGAAGAAAAGTCTGGCAAAAGCCTCCTGGAAGGAGACTTCTGGGCCATGCCTCGTGCGGAGGACACGGCGCCATTGAGCTGCATTTGAAGCCTTCCAGACGTCGTGCGAACAGGGCATGTTCAGCTTCAGCTCGGCGTTAAGAATGAGAGGGGGGATGTTGTACATGATAGAGTGGAGGTTGAAGAAGCAATAAACAATGAATTTGGTCCGCCGGTTACCTTCCCGTCGTATCCAATCTTCCCAGTTGTTCGGGTCGGGGCTAGGAGGTGGCTCGACGAGACCATGTTCTCTCACGAGCCTCGCCAGCGTGCTTTGAAGTGAGAGCATTTCTCGTAACAACTCTGGGTGCCGTTCCCATGAAGCAAACACTGTAAGCAGGAGAAAAGTTCGAATCACTTCCATGTGGGCATCCGAATCTTCGGGTGCATATCCAGAAGGATCCGCTGGGTATAGAGTAGGGTGCTGCTGCTGGAACGGGCTACTGGTATGGTTTGAGGTCGCGGATGACCCGCGAGAGTTGTGGAATCCAGATGCCGGTGACAGGAAGTTCCAGGTCGGACACGCCACTTGCTTACTATCTCGGCGGTGGAGACGCTGAAGCAGGATGACCTTGGCTGCGTGGAATAGCTCTATGCCTCGATTGTTTTCAAATCGATAATGAGACCCCGCAGCCGCCAGCGCAAGAGTGAGCTCGGGTGAGCATTTGGCAACGGAAAGCGTGGGGACATGAATGAAAGGAAGATGCTCGTTTAAGCCGTTGATATAACCGGCAAAAAACCGAGACAGTGCGTGCCTTGAAGGTGGAATGAAGTTTTTGGGAAGAATATAAGCGAATTCATCGAGCTTCGACAGGAAGACCTGACGGTCTGCATTTGATATATCCCAGGCGGGGCGAGGTCCTTCATCACCGAACCCGAGACGGTCATCTACATCATGAGGTTCAGGCTGCAAGGACGGTAATCGTGATCCAAAATTAGAAAACGACGGTTGTTCATCAGCTGCAGTCCGCGGGTCGCTCATGAGCTCGGGACCAAGTCTCCCCATTTCACGGATGGCTGGCTTTGAGTCCATTGGAAGAGTAGTCGGCAGAATCGGGTCTTCAACCGTGGAGAATACGCCAGAGTCCCAGTCGGACGACAGGCCTACGCTCTCCAGGAAGACTGTGAAGTCTTGAACAGGATCCCCTAAGTCAGCAAGATCCAATATAGAGGGTTCGACGCCATAATTATCGGTTATCGCTCTCTCTGGGACGTGGGGAAGTGGCTGCGAGGTGCCCACGTTCTGTGAAGACTTGCGGAGCGATTCGAGACTTTCCTGCTCACCCTCCAGGGCAACATGGCTTGCAGCGTGGGAAAGGAGGTTCAAGTCATATCCCCAAGAAGGGTTGAAATGAGGCGTTTCCACAATCGAGGGAGGTTGCACCTGCACCTCGGGAGGCGGCGGCGGCACGGGTTGGGTGTGAATAGGGACAGCGTCGGCAAGCTCTAGCATGCGGGACTCATGGTGAGTGGGCTGTATTATAGGAGGTTGGGTCTGAGGGACATCGTGGCTGTTCTGAGCACGATGCTCCCGGTTGGCTGCGGTCTCAGTTGGATGGACTAGCCGCTCATGTCGTACGAGCAGATCACTATGAAATTTCCCCCCATATTAGCGCGGGGCGGCTGCGATGCAACGCGGGCAACAACTTACCTCCTCGCAAAAGATTTGGAGCAAATATCACATGAGAAAGGCTTCTCCTTGGTATCTAGATGACACACGTCAGTCTCGCGTGTGTGGGAAGGCCACAAGCAGCCGGGAAAGGCTTCAGGGTTACTCAACGGGTGCGGAGATGGCGCTGGAGGTGTTCCAGGCGCGCAAACGACCGACTGCAATATTCGCAAGACAAGGACTTGCGATGAGCGGGAGTGCTTTTCTTCCTCACTTTTCCCGGGGTGCCTCTGTCGTCCTCCATGGCGAATTGCCTTGGAATTGGACCATGTCCTTAGATGGGATTACAGGCGAGCGGGGAAGAAAAACTGTGGGGTCAACATGAGGGGGTTTTGCGAGTTACGGTCACGTGGTGCCCTCCCGCTGCCTTCCGCCAAAAGGAAAGCCCTACCACTCAATAATTATTCTGTCTACTAACGTGTGGAGGCCAGTCAGTTCTCTCCTCTCCCCTTGTCAAGTTAGGTCACTTTCCCCGCGATATTCCCCCCTGTCGGTCTTCAGTTTTCAACATCAGAGAAGGGAAGTGCGGGCGATATTGCTGCATTGTGCGCCGGTTAGGTCTCTACGCAGAACTTCCTGCACATCCCTTGGACGAAAGTTGACTCCGCCATCCCCACCGGTGCGGAGATGTTTACTTTGGGCGTCGATATCACGAACATCTCCTCACAGAGGCCCGCATTTTCATGGGGAGTCCAGTTGGGGTTAAAACAACACTCTGATTTAAAATATCAAATGGGGGATAAAGTAGCTGTATACAACGTGAATAAGTCAACATTCCTAACTACATTATTACTTACTCAAGCTATTACATGACTGGGGTACTTTCTGTATCCGACAAGCACCCGCTCCTCGGAGATATATATCGTGTACAACATTCAATGTGTCCAGCCTGAACTCAATTAGGCCGACCGTCTGCAGTCACGGTGCTTATCTTTGCTCATTCCACAACGTTTTCATCAGCTGCCATATGCTCCCCCACTTTCTTTTCTTTGCACTATCTCAGCCAAAGACCAAATCAATGACATCCGTTGCATACTAGCACTACAAAGAGGGAGGTAGTACCAGACATGCGATATTCGGCAATAATACGCTTTATTATGTCTTTAGCCAGGGGAATAAGGGGCAGAGTATACCCCCTAGTAATCATTCTTATCGAAACTTAGTCAATGTTTCAGCTTAAGCGGACGCCAAAGCATACCAGGTAATTCGTGAGTCCCTCATGGACGACAACTAATAGTACCGTAGTAGTAGATGGTTGAGGTGAAGCTGTTCCTGCCTGAGCGCCAAGGTATCTGCTCGGTAATCGGACTGAAATGAGCCCCAAAGCTGATTTGGCCCTCCTAGCCCCTTGAGCTATCTTTAACTCATCTCATCTGTCGACCGCTATCCGATTGTGAATAGAGCGGAGCGGTCCTGAGTCGCAGCAGCCGAAATTGGAAATGGACGGGACACAGATGGCCGGATGGTTCAGATGCTGAACCGTCCCACCCCACCAAACCCCCAGAACTTGGTACCGAAACGGGGCCACGATCTATCTACATCGATTTACACACCTTCCTGCATGGAATAAAGCTCAGGGTCGTGAATGGATCATGCTAGTAGATATAGGGTATGCCTTTTGAATGAATAGCTTTGAAGCGCTTATCGACTCAAGCTAGACTTGCGAGTTGGAACAAGTCTATTGACCAGTGGTAATACTCATAATGCCCGTACGATAGTAGGCTGGTAGTCTCCATCATTGACAGTATTTTCCTAACCGAAAGAAAACATAATATATATGGTACCTTGGGATATCTTCGTATTAAGTTCGGTACCATATTAGGGTTTACTGGAGCGTCCCTGCTTATGGCTTCTTCTCAGGGAGTACAGTGGCGAGCTCTCCCCTCTACTCATACCAGTCTTCATCATGCTTGGCTAAGGAGAGACTGCCCTCGAGCAGAGATCGGGCTAGCCCGCTCG